TTGACCTTTTCATTTTATTTGAAAAGGCAAACTTTTCGTACGATGCTCGGCGGGTTTTCGAACATGTTCGTAAGTTTAGTAGTAGAGGTCCCACGGCTTCCACACACCTTACGATAATCGTACGATCGATTATCTCTGTGCTAAATTGGAGGATCAGAGCGCTATAATCACATGATCACGGTGTTATTATCAGGGACTTCTATAATTCTGAACATTTTTTTCTTGTCCCACTGTGATTCTTGCCTGATGACGGGACCATGCTAGGTTTCCGAAACATTGCTTTGTACTTGTGAGGTCATGTGTATCTGAAGAAGTCAATAAAAGGACAGATTGATGAATTGGACCTAGGTGTGCGAGTGACTACATCTACATTCCATAATTCTGAGCCACATGATCACAAAACTGGGTTCTGTAACCCTTTGTAAATGTAAAAATGAAAATCTGCACTCTTGGAACCAGATAACAAGCATTTAACCCTAAAGCTGCTATGAAAAAAAGGGGGGGGGGGGGCCTTAAAAAAATAAAGAAAACCCTTTACCAAACCCTGCCTTTCCATGGAATTTCCACATGTAGACCATCACCAGTACTTTAAAAAAATCACCACAAAAAAAACAAGTTAAAAATTTCATGGAGCATTGGCATCTCTGCTGCGTGACATTTTCTGTCTGTTCCCCTGTGGTGCTGATGTTTTGCGGTGGTTTCCTTTTCCTTCTGTCTCAAGTTGTAATGAGAGATGAACTGCTGGGGAAAGCAGAAAGCCAAATCGCATGGGCAGGAAATATCACTTCTGGGGCATTCTGTACCAACAATATATACAGAGTGCTCCTGGTTGTCATGGTTACAAGAAGCAACATCCAACATCCTTTTTTGGCGAGTTTTAGAGATCATAGCCAGTTGCAGAAAACCATTATCTATAATAATGTTAAGAGGCCAATATACCGCTATTATTTAGGTGTTTAGGAGGTATTGGAGAGTTAAAGCACCAAAACATCTTCCCGTTGCCACTCTGGTGTCAACACTGAACGCCACTTCCTATGCTAGCATTCCTGCACCAGCCATTAAAAGGTGGATCCCATCCCCCGCTGGAAATGTCATTTATTTTACACTATCAATATTCAGAAGAGAGGAATGCAAATACCCAAAACCACTATACCTAAAACATATGGGTGGACCGAAACTTTAAAATAAAAGGCTGAGACCCCACAGTCAGTGCTCCAGGCTGTCATTTGTTCGACTCCTCAAAGTGCTGTATGTGGAGAATGTGTGTTGTGACCTGCAGAACAGCGAATCAAACTACCCCCTGCCGGAACTTTCCCACCGCACTAGATTGCCCACTAAAACGCAGCGTTTCAGCGAGCAGACTTGTGTGAATGTAGCCTTAAAGGTCCTTTACACACCATACCACACATACAGAAACTCATTGCATCACATCAAAAAAACATGTGCATACATGTGCATGCTTTTTCTTGGGCGTTGTGTTTATGTGTATTGGCATGCGTTAATGTCTCCCATTTTTTAGCATTTTACAGTCCTATTTCCTGGATGGGTCATAATTTCCATGCGTTTCCTTTCAGTTGTGTGTTGCATCTACATATTCATGCGTTTGCTTTCTTTCAGTTGTTGTGTGTTGCATCTACATATATTCATGTGTGTTGCATTACAATGCACACATGCTCCATTTGAATGCAACTCACATCTCTATAGCATTGTGATGTAAATGAGGTACATGGGTACCTCGGTTCACGAACAATTCGGTTCGCCAAAATTTTGCTTCCGTTCGCTTACTCCGCATCGGGTGACGAACACAACCGCAGCCATCTTCCCTGCTCTGACACATGGTCGTGGCTTCCTCTAGTCGAGATCGCGGTCTGATCACAGTTCGATTCGCGACCAGAATCGTGGAACGAATTAAGTTTGTGAACCGAGGTCACCGTACAATAGAAACCCATTGTTGTCTACATGGCCCGTGTTGATCTGATGCAGGAAAATGCAAGTCACCGCACATGGTGTGGACAAACGGTTAAGGGCTGGCACAGTCTGAATGACACAGAGCATGTACTCTTTCCCCAAACTACCACTGCTTCATGGTGATGGATAACAACACTGATCAGCAAAGAGTCATAACAAGGGCCCCTTAAAGAACTCTGGCCAAAAGTCTTCTTAATTGTTGCAGTGGAGCTACCCTCGCACTGAAGTGTTAAGCTCTTGTTTCGGATACCAAGAAAAAAAAAAAAAAATTATACTTGCCCGAACCGTGGGGCCGGCTGGCTGCTAGTCTGGTCCTTGAACCAAGTCTTCTCCTCTGCTGCAGCAATGGTATGTCTCTCAGCATCCTCAAGTTCTATACACTGTGTATAGAACATGACGACCCAAGGATCCTTAGACCGCTGCAGTGGAGGGAGAGAAAGGCTCCAAGAATCAGGCAAATATAACTTTTGTTTTTAGACCTAGACCTAGAGAGTTTGGCTACTCCTGACAGACAAAAATGAGCACTTAACCCTTGCAGTGTAGGGATAGCCCCACTGCAAAGGCTAAGGGAAGTTTTGCCTGGAGTTCAACTTGAAAGGACACATTGAGAAGGATGCTTGCAGTACTGTCTTAATGTTAAATGCTTTATTTTTTACACAAATGTGCTCCACAGATGGTTATTTAACTTTTTAAAGTGCTGCAGACAGCATCTCAGTACAGTATGTCTCCTTAGTAAGAAAAGCTGTATCATGTTATCAAATTGGAGTCTCTCTGGCTCTGTTAAAAGAAAGCCAATATGCTCCAAAGATACACTGTGGCAATGTCATAAGAACACAGCTTACACAATACTGAAAGCATTCAGCAGCATATAACTTGACAGACACAGCACTAAAAGCACCCATCTGGCTTTGCCCCTTAAAGCCGATTTCCGGACAAAAAGTAGTTTCTTCAATATTTAACCAGTAAAAATAAATGAGTGTGCCCCATCACTGGCCAGTGCAGAGCTCGTTAAATTTAAAAATCCTTGCATTCTTTTCAGTAAATGGAAGGATGGGAGATCAAAAAAACTTTGGTGTAATGGAGATGAGAGGGGCAGGTGTTGGTATTCCAAATGAGCAGTGCAGCTTGGGGTGACAACACTGCTTCACCATAGATATAGTAGAGTGAGCAAGTGTCACCCTAGGGCAGAAGTGTGTTACTGGCAGGATCACCACGTGCAAAGAAAGAAAGAAAATGCAGCCACCACATCCAACTGCTAAAGGTCCAATATATTTTTATTTTTGGTTTAAAACACACTTTAAAAAAGGAGAACTATAGGGCAAGCTTTTTTTGCCCATAGTTCTCCTCTGGATCATGGGAGGACATATACTGTTTCTCCACTGACCAAAAACTATTGCCCGCTATATCCTGAGACCACCGCAGCCACGACGGATCCCGACAATACTGTCGAGATCCACCCCGCTGGCTGATGCGACAGCTGACTCTGCCTGCCCCCCCGGTCTGCCCCTCCAGTCAACGCTGGAGGATCGTAGGGGGGGGAGTGGGGAATTGTGACTGGCAGTCACTGCTCTCTGCAGGGAGAGGATTGGGAAGTGAGCGGATCGTCGGTATGTTTCCGCTCACTTCCCGATCAATAGAGCTGATGTGTCATAGTTTCAATGTCAGACGTTTGCTCCAACTATGGGGATGAGTGTAATTCTCTCACCCCATAGTTCTCCTTTAAGTTGTTATCAAAGTGCTGCTATGTGCATAATACCTGACAATAAGGCAGCTGAAACATTTCAATGGCAGTTTAAAAGCAGAATATTGTCCAAATACAACTGGTAGAATTGCTCATCTAATAACTGCTGCAGAGACCCCTTTATTTCCTTGGGTCCCTTTCAAACCTGTGGTCCGACCGGGTCCACCAATCAGTTTTTCTGGTGAACACAATCGGATGTCCAATGCTAGTCTATGGGCAGCCGTGTGTAAATGGACGAGAGACCGTTTACACCCATGCACGGATCCCTTCCTTATCAGCCCAGGTGAAAGGGGCTTTAGTAAAGTGCATAGCACATGCTCATTAGTGAAGAAAGCACCATTACAAGATCATTTAAAAGTAAACAATTGAAAGAAAATAGTGTGATTTGCAAGTTGTTTATCAAGCCGATTATTTGTGGTACAACATGAAAAGCCATTAAAAAAAAAAACAAAAAAAAAAACAACAAGTAAAAACAAAAAGCCAAAAACATAGTGTGCATCAATTGCTCCCTAATAAAAGCAGTTGGATTTTGAAGCAAGTGGTGGAGGGGCTCTTGTAATTTTTCATTTGGTGGTGGTTGTTGTGCGTCTAGTGTTGCTATAGAAATTATATTTAGCAAAGTGAAAAAGATTTTTGGGTGAAATGCTTTGGCCCGTATTGCAACCACCTTCGGATTCTTTTTGGTTACGAGTTCTTTGTGGTTGGGTGAACCAGAGCACCAGGTACAGGTACGTACTCTAAGTACATGTGTAGAGAGAGATTGGGCTTCAAATTTTGTTTTGTTTTTTACACTTTTGGTTCAAAAGAACAATTCTGGGAATTTAAAAAAAAAAACACACACTTGCAGTGGGGCTACCCCTACACCACTAGGATTAAGTGCTTGTTTTGTCTACGAGGCTCAAATAAAGCAGATACACTTACCTGATCCTTTCCGGTCTGCTTGACCGGTCCCCGCATCCTCTTTTCCCCCAGGCTCTGTCCATCTAAGCATCACTGATGTCATCAAGTCTTCTGCAGGTCTATAGACATGCATTAGACAAGAGGATGCCGAGGGACATACCACAACTGGGACAGAACAGGAGAGAGGTGAGCGCTGACTGCCGTGGTTCTGAAGATCATGCGAGTATCTTCTTTACTTGAGCACCCTATACAAAACAAGCACTTACCCTTGCAGTGCAGTGGTAGCCCTAATGCTAGGATAAGCATTTAAAAAATTCTCAGAGTTCTTCTTTCATATCATAAAAATTTAATAAAAAACACAGTATGAAAAGATAAAATGCATTTTCCTTACCTGCAGTCCTTCAGCCATATAGCAATCTTTTCATTGGGTATATGTCCTGTAAAAAGAAATATATACATCAGCCTGTAAAGAGGAATGCTGTACATCTACTCAGCACTATGAAATGTCTTTAGATTGAATGGGAAGTGATAACCGTACTTTCCCCATTTTTACTATCGAAAAGGTTTCTACTTCACTTTTTTTCTCTTATCACACGGATTAGCGGAACTTGCTTCACACACGCTAGGTTGTTGAACTTTGTAGTGTAGAAGTAAATACACACAGATTATTGGTTCTTAAAGCATATTTAAATCCAAAAATATATATCGCAGCTTACAAGTCCTTAGAAGTGGTGGCTGCATTAATTTGGGGTGCTGAGGAATAGCAGCAGATGCTCTGGACTGAGGAGTCAAAATTTGGCTATACAAGCAGATCTTATCCATCATGCCATACCATCAGGGAGGTGTGCGATTGGTCCCAACTGTATTCTCCAGCAGGACAATTACCCCAAACATGCAGCCAATGTCATTAAGAACTATCTTCAGCGTAAAGAAGAACAATGAGTCCTGGAAATGATGGCTTGGCCCGCAACATAGCCCTGATCTCAACAACATCAAGTCTGTCTGGGATTACATGGAGACAGAAGGATTTCAGGCGACATCCATAGAAGAACTGTTGTCAGTTCTCCAAGATGTCTGGAACAGCCTACCTGCTCAGTTCCTTCAAAAACTGTGTGCAAGTGTATCTAGAAAAACTGATGCTGTTTTGAAGGCAAAGGGTGGTCATACCAAATAATTTAATTTGGATTTCCTTTTTGTTCATTTACTTTCCATTTTGTTAATTGAGAAAAAATATTAGCAATTTTATTTCTGAAACCATTCTTACTTTACAGTAGGGCTGCAACCAACTAATCATTTAAAATCAATAGATGAGAATAGTTGACAACTATTCTCATTATCGATTAGTTGGTTCCCCTAGCTTTCTCCTCCACACTGGGAGGAGATCACAGCAAGCAGTGGGCGGGCACAATAGCCAGCCTGCTATTGGCTAATGCAGTTTCCAATCATTATTGCACTCGCCCACCGTTTTTTTACATCTAGCTGCCATCTGCAGAATCTTGCCACTGGTAGCTGTCATATCCTGGCTGAAGCTATTCAAGCGCCATGTGTTTACAATACAACTATAAAAAGGTGAGAAAAAGTAATTTTTGGTTTCAGACTAACAAATTGTGCTGCGGGAGGTGCATTGCAGGGCCATTCATTTCAAAGGCACCCCAGAAGTACCTCCCACCATCAGTGAGATCGCCCGCACTGGAATGCACTAAGGATAGTATTTTGATTTTTTTAAATCCGATTAATCGAAAAAATAATCATCCAACTAATCGATTATGAAAACAGTCATTAGTTGCAGCTCTACTTAACAGCATTTTGTTTTTACACCCACCTAAAACCTTTGCATAGTACTGTATATAGGTGCGAGTGAGATGATATAAAGCTATAGATAGAGATAGAGATACATACATACATACATACATACATACATACATACATACATACACACACTTGTATTTTTGTGTGCACACCTTGATGCAATAGGCTGAGCACGCCTATAGTAATAAAAGACTTAAAATGAAGCTTTATAAGATAAAACACTAAATGTTAAAAGAATGATTCCATACCTTATGTATGTGAATTGAACAGTGTGATGAGAAAATGATCATGAAATAACACAATAGAGCTGAGTGAATGGACCTGAATATCATTAGGGCACCAGAGGGCTTGTCCAGCCTCATCCGCAAAGTGAATCTGCCTTTCAGCACAAACTACATTTGACCGTTTGTTTGAAATCGTTCATCAGATCCTGCTATCACTGAGTCAACTGCTTTCATTCAAAAGTTCTTAAAGTGGACCTTTACCTTCTTTCACTAAACATCACATCAGCATTCAGCTCTGCATGCTGAAATCATCTTATATTCATTAGTTAAATAAACATTTTTCTCTTACGTACAATTACTGTTTTTCCACTTCATGGTCCTCTTGGGCATTAGTGATGTAGCCCATGCTTAAAAGATGCATCCTGGGAAGGGTACATCACCAGTGCCTTTCTGGGAAATCTCAACTGTAAATTGCAAAAACTTGTGAGATCTCAGGGAAATGCATGTTCCGCCCCTGAGATGATGTGCATAATCACATGTCCTAGTCACATGTGCCAGAGTTCCATGAAGTAAAAGGGAGAAGGATTCTGCCCCTACTAAAAATGGCCTCTGTGAGAAGAATGGGGAGGAAAATAAAAACAGGTATGTAGAATTATCTCAAAAGTATCTTTTTGGAGATTGCCATTTTTAAAAATGTCTAAAGGGTGCCTTTGTTGGAAATTTAAAGCAAAGTTCCAGGGAAATGTTAGTAATAACATTGCAGTGGGGCTACTCCTGCACTGAAAGGGATAAGTGCTCATTTTTGCCTAGGGCAGTGGTGGCGAACCTTGGCACTCCAGCTGTTTTGGAACTACAAGTCCCATGAGGCATTGCAAGGCTCTGACAGCCACAGAAACTCCAAGAGCCAGATGCATGTTGGGATTTGTAGTTTTGGCACAGCTGGAGTGCCAAGGTTCGCCACCACTGGCCTAGGGTCAAAAATAACAAATTATACTCACCTGAACCTGCATGCTGGCCAGCTGTGACCGTGCTCCCTCCAGCCCGTCCCATCCTCCGCTGCGGCTATCGTGTCGCCGACACTTGTCAGAATACCCGATCAGAGTGGGCTGCTCATTGGCTGCCGTCTCTGATTGTATGAAGATTTTCCAGCGATCTCCTTTGATCAGCTGATCGAGGAATGCCAGCTGAAAGGAAGTCGACAGCCCCATACACTGGCCTATTTCGGCCAGTGTATGGGCACCTTTAGTCAGTTATTTTATTATACTGTCAAGTTCACAGCACCTGGTAGCATTTGCTGCTGAAGGAGAGTGCAGGATGACCATAGATAAAATGACAGTCATGAGACAGTGAAATTATAGCCAACTTTGAGTGATGTGACTTAATTGCCCTGCGTTTCAACTGTAAAAACAATGTAGATCACATAATTGTGTGATTCAAGTCTCTCATAGCAACAGGGGATTAGCAGATAATTATGTACAGTATTCCCACTTTTATGTTACATTACATACATGACCTCATGCTACTAGTAACAGGCCTGCTGTTTCACAAGAAGAAGTAGGTCTTCAAAACTAAAGTCCTTCCTTGTCTTTATGTCTTAGGTCTCACGCACACACCAAAGCTGTTGCTGTGGATTCTTGCGGCGAGTGTCCGTCTGATGTGCACATTCAAGTAAATGACAGGGTAACAGTGGCCGCATCTGTCCGTGGCGGTCTGACCTGCAGATCAGGAGAGATGCTTGTCCCTCGATGAAAGGTTCCTACATCCAAGGACAAATCTCTCCCAATCCGCAGGTAATCATTCTACGTACATGTGGACAGTCACAGGCAGATGCACCCGCTGTCACCTAGTCAATAAAGTGACACTAAACTCAGGAATGAAATCTTCAAAATGCATTCAAGTACCTTAACTATTAACACTGTACATTATTTGTGCCTCACTCGGCTGTAGGTCCTCAAATCATCTCTGAATTGGTGGTGACACTGTCCTTCCTTCTGGAGGGGGGCTACTTTTGTTCCCCATGGTCCCTGTGAGTGTTGTAAAGTAGTCACCGCTCCAAGCTCACTCTTGTGATGGACTACAATTTAACATTTCGTTTACCGATTTGTATTGAGATTTTTAGTCCATCACGGGAGTGAGCATGGTGCCCCTGATAAAAACGGCCTCTGCCTCTATGTGTCATATCGGTGGGCAGTACAGAAGCTGAAAGCCGGTTAAGCAAGCTGGTCACACAGACACCAATCTACAGCCAATCAGTAGGCCCCAACCTTTGCTGCAGTGCTCGCCTAGGCAAGAATAACATGTCCCTGCTGCTGCAGTGCCTTGGGCTTTCCCCATCATATTTTCCAGGAGGCTGTAGGAGCAGGGAGTACACAGCACCGGTGGGCTCATCACTGTGGACTCAGCCAGCTCCTGATGGCTGAGGAGGACCAGGATGGCTGCATTGCATACCTGCTGAGGCAGCAGATTGGAGCAGGATAACACTGGATTTGCTGGGCAGGCGAGAATGTGAACTGACATACATAAGGCGTAAAAGGGAAAAAAAAGAAGAAGTGTTCCTCTTTAGGGCTTCTTCACACAAGCAGCAATGCCCAACTGTGCTGGTATGCGTGTGCTCATACAGTGCCCATGCACTTGATCGAGTTGCATTGCACAGTTTCTTTTTTTGTTAAAACTTTATTGAAATGTCACAAGTGACATTAAGTTCTATGGGCACACTGCGGTGCAATGCAGTTGAACCGTATCACTGCGGGGTGCTGAAAAGTACTGCATGCTGTACCTTTTTTAAGTGCACAACGTCACAACACAGTATTGTGAACTGTGTCCACCTATGACAAGTCACATTGCCTTGTCTTGTGTTCATGCTACCCTGGAAAAAATGGGCAGCACGGTGCAAACGCATATAGTTTGAACGGGCTCTTAAAGTGCACACATGTGACCTGGGGAAACTGCTGCTATAGAGCCTTCTTGTTAATTTACATTTAATATATTTTTATGCATTTACATTTGAGGTGCTGCCAAGAATTTGTGACTCTGTGCCCTAGGTAGGACAAGACACATTAATAAAAGCACAAAATAAATGTTATAATTACAAAAAACACACAGCTTTGGATTGCCTTTAAATGCCCTAAACACACAGTCATATGACGTCAACGACATGTCTTCTTGCCAAGCTGAACTCAACCACAAAACAGTGCTATTTGCATAGACAAAAATCACATGAATGTTATTTTAGCGGGACATTTGTAAACTCCTCATATTCAGAGGGGAATTTGGTTACACTCACAGACATGAGTGTCTGCATAAGAAATACTTACTAAAGCTCTATACTTGAAGTGTGACTTTCAACTTAAAGCTGCAGGAAAGAAACAAATACTGGGCATCCAACCTGATAAACCAGAAGAGCT